TATGGTATGCATGTGATAAGGTGTATCAAAGATAATAAATAGATAAATAAGTTTGTATCATTTTTAGCAACTTAAAATTTTAGGTGAAATAGTTTAAGAATTAATTTTTTTTCTTATTTTGAAAGAAAAAAATTACTTATTTTAAAAGTAATTTTTATTATACTCGTAAAATAAATAACTTACTTATTTCAAGTTTGATTAATACAATTATTTAATTCAAAATTTATTTGTTTATTCACAAGTACACAAGCTTAGCGAAAAATGCGTTGGGCACACGATTAATTTTTCGGCTGGATTTTAATAATAAATTGATTTAGATACAACCAAAGTCAATATTATAGCAGCTAATTATAATTAAGTATGTTAATTTTTTCGACAGTTAACTTAAGAGCAAAATCATCAAACAACCAATAATTTAGTACTATTGACTATCAAATAAATTGTATTATCATGAAGTTAAGTTGTCGAGTAAATATTAGTAATTTAATTGGACATGCACAAGGTTGAAGTAAAACAATGCAATTCTTTCCTTTTCATTTTGTTTGTTTGTATATTGGACGTTACAATATATGTGAACAATTCTTTATTTTTTATTTTCTAATGTTATGATTGTATATTATTTTAATTTTGTTTGGTATTTTAATGAATAGTAACTCAATGAATAAGAGTTTATAAAAAAATCTAAATTTAAATTATTTACTATGATTTATTTATGAAAATTTGTCACGTGTCTTGATAGGGTGCCCTTGGTGCGTATATCTAGCATGACATGAGGCGGTGTATCGGAGACAATAAATAGATAAATAAATATACTTCATTTCTAACTTAAATTTTCAGATGAGATTTTTTAACAATATATATATATATATTTGGGCGTAAAAACATTAATTATTTTGAGTTTGACTAATAATTTATTTTACTTTCAAAGTTTATTTGTTTATTCACAATACACGCAAAATGAGAGTTAGGCACACAACTATTTTTTCAACCACATTGAGGGCTCATTAATTAGTAATTACAAGTCTCATCTCTCTCACAATCACATTGTTTATTTATTTTTAATTATAAACTAATTTAGATACAACCAAAGTCTAACTTATATAATTTAAGTATATTAATTATTGGTATAAATTGACAGTTAAGCGAAAAGAACCAATAATTTAGTGCTATTGACTATCAAATAAATTGTATTATCATGGAGTTAAGTTGTCAAGCAAATATTAGTAATTTAATTGCACATACACAAGGTTAAAGAAATTCAACGTAAGTCTTTCCTTTCCTTTTCTTTTTGTTTCTTTGTTTATTGTATTTTAAAAATATTTAAACATTTCTATAATTTTTTTAATGATTATTTCCTAATAATATGACTATAAATTATAGATTTGTTTGATATTTTAATGATTTGTCACTCCACAAATAAGAGGATATAAAAGTATAGAGAATATAAATTATTTTTCTCCTCTTGGAGTTGATTTTCTTTATATCCATTTTTAATATAAGTGTCGACATAAAATATTATTAGGACTTTGCTATCAACAGATTTTCAATCGCACCCTTACTAATCTATATGTTGCCGTTGAAACTTGAAACTCGCATCTGCTAGTTTTCATTTTCAGATTGCAGTCTGCGAGGACGCTCGAGCAAAGCAGCCCTCGACCCATAAGAGGAGAGATCTACTTGGTAGAGGAAATTCGCAAGGCAAAAGTTCTACTTTACAATTACAATCATTTCAAGAAATTGATTTGATTGGTAAGTTTCATCGTCAAATTGCAACATTGTAGACGCATTGTGGTGTACGTTCTGATGCTAACACTTGTGCAGCCAATATCGTGACCAAGGCCTTTTAATCGATTTCATTTATAATAATATCAATATGGTTGATTATATTGTTACTACAATTTTGATTTGATATACAATATTTTAACTGAAGTTAAGCTCTTCAATATTTACTCATTGTAACAATTATTTTCTTAACCTTTTTTTCGCTAAATTCTAATATTCAACCTTCCATTAATTAGTACGTCTCGTCTTTGATGAAGATTTATATCAAAATATTTTGGTTTGAAACAAGAGAAAAATATTTTTTACACTTTATTTATTTATTAAGAATATAATTAAAAAAAGTTGCTTTACGTCATTTCAATGAATTTTTTGTATAAAATCGTTATTAAATGCAAAATGTATTAACTATTTAAATGCTTGCGGATAAAAATAATATGAAAAACTGTTAAAGATATAAGTGTTAAACTGTGAAGCCCCCAAAATTTTATAGAATAGAATTTATTTTTCAAATTTCTGTATTTTATATTTTTGAAGGTTGAAGGGCTAAAGCGAAATACATTTTAAATTCTAATAGTTTTGGGTTAAATAATTAGATTTTGATAGAGCGAGTTTTATTATATCAATATTGGGCTCGATGGATAGTTCGTATTAAGTGATAGAACATGGACTTGAGAAATAGTTATTTTGGATAAGTTAAACCTAAGTTGTTGAGGTTGAAATATGTTGTTTAAATAGTAATTAATTAAGTTAATTTAAAGATCCTATTTTAAATTTTGTTTTTGTTTTGCTAAGATAAATTGTATTGTCAGCGAATTGTGATAAAATTTTCAAATTCATTCTTATCCAATCATTTTTGCTTGTGGGACAAGTACACTAGAAATTTAAGTGTATACCCCCGTTTGGCCCCCATTTTGTGGAATGAAAATGGGAGAAATTGTGTGTGTTTTTTTTTTAAATAAGTTGTTGAAAAAGAAGAAAAAAGTTTTCAATTTACGTGTACTATTATTTTATAGAAAATTGCGTAATTGAAAATAGGAGAGAAAAAAATGAAATGTAATGGAATAAAAATTAATGGAGCCAAACGGGGCATATATTCATCCCATAAAGGCAAATATCTCACAACATGGAAAAAGACATCTCACGATTAGGGAGAGTAAATAGTTGATATGCAGTAGCAGTTTCATGTCTTTTGTTGAAAAGGAAATTTGAAGTGTAGAAACTCTTGGTTTTCTTTCAAAATTTTATTTGATCTGACTAGGGCGGATAACGATGGGTCGTTGATTTTTAAGCCGTTTAAATTATTTTTTTCATGTTGTTAAAGTATTATGCTAATGAAAGTTAAAAACATGATATGTTATGTATGTTATGACCATCCGATATCAAAGATATGATATTTATTCGGGATTACGCCATTATTCGTATTCTACCAAGTATTTCCATGCACTCACTCTTTTCGCCTACTCCTCACAGGTTAGAACAGAATTGTTGGTTGGTGGACAATAAGGTGCAGTCATGGTGTCAAAAATATTTAGAATTTATAAATTAAATTTGGTGTAACATGACTATAGATTTTATTTTCAGCATTTACTTTAGTTATATTATTATGTGGATTGTGTTATTTAGGGTTTGGAACATGTTTTATTTAGTTATATTTTTCCATATGTTTTATTTAATATTGCCTAAACCGAAATTTTATGTTGTTGTATTTGATGTATTTATTTAATTACGAAATGAATAAGATATGGTGTAGGAAAACATTTGTTTTTTTTATAATTAAAGAATATGAAATTATTCTATGTAACAATGCATGAACTACCGTTATATAATTTTATATTTATTGCATGCCATGTTTTTCTTAAAGTTTAAATGAAACTTTTAGTACGATTAAATCTTAAAAATTTGGGTCGTTACATAAAATGAGCAAGAATTAAAAACTTTAATTGCAATTAAAATGTGATGTAAGAATTAAAAATTGTGGTAAGAATATAATTAACCTATCAATATCTATGAAGAAACTAAAAATTTGTTAGTAATTTTTTATTTTAATTTAATGAGATGTGTTGGTTCATACATGAATGAATCCCTTCCAAGTCATGAACATTCAAGTCTAATCTATCATATAAGAGCATCTTCGAAAAACACTTTATTTTTAAAGAGTTTATTTTATAATTTGAAGAATATTTATAAATTTAGAGAGTTAAAATTTTGAGGTATTCTAAGAAACTCTTATATTTAACACTTAATTTTACTACTTTCAAAGTATATTTATTATTTTTCTCTATATTTTATTTTAACTAACTTTTCTCTAAATTATTTTTAATATTTTACTACATTATAAATTGAAATGCTTTGAATGCATTTGATTATAGAGAGTGTGAGTCAAATCCACTCTATAAATTAAAAATATTTATTTAAAGAGTCTCTTGAATCATAATTTTAAATGTTAACTTTTTAAAATAGAAAGTATCTCATGTTAAAGAAACTCTTGAAGATGTTCTAATGTACCTACCTCAATAATGAGAATCGGCCAAATTATTCAATTCTTGATTCGAAAACTTAAAGCTTAAACAAAATGGAATTGAAAAGGACAATTCTGTTCAATTGTAAAATTGGATACAAGGTCAGTGCCAATCAATAAATTGGACTTTGATCCGATTCTTTTGTTTATGCCTGGAAGAACAAGATTGGCACCACTAGCACTAAACCTGGGTTTTTCCATGGCCATGACCCTCTATGGTCCGGCTAGCCTGATTAACATCACATTCTAGCAGGCTGGACCAGTATACATGGCTGTTTTACAGTCTGGGAGAGTTGGATTGTAATTTACTAAAAATTTGGGGTAAATTTCCCAAAATGGAATATGAAGAGTATCCTCTGGATATTTGGGATCCACATAAGCACCATTTCTTGACCATCAAATTCAGTTGGGTCCATGAAATTCTAGTGAATTCTACAACGAGTACTCGAATTTTTCAACGCCTAGGTTGACCACATTGCGCGTGAGTTCCATGTGAATTAAAAATGGAAAATGTCATATGTACACAATGGATTACATCTTTTTCACATGAAAAGAGGTCCACGAATATTTTATTATATGTGACCCTCTTAACATGAAAGGGTGTAATAGTGTGTGTACACGTAACACTTCATTTAAAAAAAATGCCAATCCCATGTGTGTGTTCTGTCAACTGAGTTGTCATCCTTGTCTTTTAGTAGCAAAACAAAGTCCCTCACCACCCAAGCAGAACTTGCACAGATTTTGCAATCAGTGATGGCCTCCTCCGTACTTAATTTTATCTTTTCGCCCTTTCACCGTCAGTATTCTATACCATCATTATCCTCAGTTTCACCAATAAGTTATGGTTCAATTTCGAGTTCAATTATTTCATCTTCATTATATCACAGCAGAAGAGGAAACTGCAGTTTCAAGAAGAGGGGTATTTGTAGGTCATCTTATAGTGAAGTCGAATTCATTGAACCTCCTGAAACTCAACAATCAAATGAAGAGCTTATTCGGTCCTTGAAGTTCAAATTATTGGTATAAATCAAAATCCCAGTCTTAATTTTGTTGATTGTGTTTTTATTTTGACTTGGTTTCTCACTTTTGCGGGCATGATGAAGAATTCCTTCTGTGAGATCATTCTTGCTTGGTGCAAATGCTTGTTAGATTATATGTTAATTTCTATAGTTATTCTTAAAAACTGTTTGTTTCTTCTTGGATTAGGTTGTTTATGGTATGTGACGGAAATTTTGTAGCTAACTTGGCACATCTAAATTAACATAAATTGGTTTTGGTTGTGGACCCTCAGGTAGATGTAATAATGAACAAACAGAGTGGCAACAGAGGATACATGTAAACTGTATAGACTGACAAAGTTTTGTCGAAGGATTAGAAAACCCGCTATAGTGCTACACTGTAGTATTGTTTCTATGATCAAGCAAACAAACACTTGTTTCACCGAGTAAGCAATGATTCTTTATGTTAAAATTTAGCATTATAGTCTGGTACATCAAATTTGACAAATTTACAGATGCAGGATGAGCAAGCGAGATCAACAACATGGCTAAACTTGTATGGCATGTTTGGTTCGTTACTAGGTACAAATAGATTGTATCGTTAAAGGACAAGATGGTTGTGGCTTTTCTTAATCTACTTTACCAAACACATCACTAGGTCATATCACTTCCATTTCAGAAGTAGGACCCCAGTTGTAACTTTTCCAACCATGGTGAATAAGGCCAATATTTGACAGTCATGAAGCAATATTTAGGATGTCCAATTTCCAATTGCTACCCAGCTACATTGGTGTGTTAACAAAAATAGGTATGAATGTCTTTTAAGTACCTATTCAGTGTGAGTTAATAGAATATGAATTGAGATGTGGGGTTAGCTGAGTAATGAAATTTTATGTTACTGTCCATTTGTACTTGAGATTTGATGACATTTTATGAAGGAAGAAAGGTGTTTTTGAGCTTCGTCGATGGTCCTCATTTGCTGTCTTGGTCATTGTTGCCTAATCTGTGTCTCTTGGGACTGGGAAAAGGTTGTTAAAAGCTAGAAAAAAACTTGTATAGCTGTAGTTTACATGATATATATTTGCGCAAAAAATAAGGAAAGCTCAAAAATTACATAAAACTTATAGTCTCAATAATGCCTGCTGATTCATGGGGGATTGTTAATTTCAGAGTGTAGTTTCTGGGTTAAATAGAGGTCTTGCTGCAAATGAAGATGATCTACGCAAAGCTGACGATTTTGCAAAGGAGCTTGAATCTACTGGAGGTCCAGTAGATCTTTTGACTGATCTTGATAAACTGCAAGGCAGATGGAAATTGATTTACAGCAGTGCATTTTCTTCTCGGACACTTGGAGGGAGTCGTCCCGGGCCACCCACTGGAAGACTTCTTCCCATAACTCTTGGCCGGGTACGCTAGAGTACTATGTAATATGATTTGTTGGTGTCTTCTGGTTATTGTATTTGACTACTAGTGAATTAATTTGCTTCCAAAATACCATTTTTAGTATCTAGAATTGAATTCAACATTTTGGGAGTCTCTTAGGCACCTTGATGGGAATAGTGCATATTTTTGGCATTGTATTCATGTTTCTAGATCATTCCATTTGAGAACTTCTTCAAGACAAGATACTTATTTCACTTATAAATGAGGGGGAAAAAAGGCAAATTATCTAAACATGTTGGAAACATAAAGTCACATCAAAATAAAAGTAACTTTTAAGCTTAGCCAAACGTGCTGAAATGCAGTATTTTCTTATAATCTGATATAAGCATTTGTTTCTGATCAGGTGTTCCAAAGGATTGACATCTTGAGCAAAGATTTTGACAACATAGTAGAGCTTGAATTAGGTGCTCCATGGCCTTTTCCACCTGTTGAAGTAACTGCCACTTTAGCCCACAAATTTGAAATTATTGGTTAGTAACTTCTATGTTCCATTTTTCAGTTCAAAGTCCTCTTTTAGCCTTCCCTTACTTTTCGTCACAGATAGATTACAAATTCTCTTGATGATAGTTCCTCAAACTTTTGAACAGAAAATTGCAAAATCAAGATAACATATGGGAAAACAACTGTGAAGACGACAGGAAACTTATCACAACTTCCACAGTTGGATATACCTCGTTTACCAGATGGATTAAGGCCACCATCCAATCCAGGAACTGGTGAATTTGAAGTTAAATACCTCGACTCAGCCATGCGTATCACTCGGGGAGACCGGGGAGAGCTACGGGTTTTCGTAATCTCATAAGGTAACCTTCATTGTTGTTGTATAGTTTCGGTCAAACAATTTTGGTCGCACACTACTCTCTCCTGTTTGTCTTTTTTACACCATTTTGTATTGAGATTGCACAATATAACATAATGAAGGCAATTAAGTTGCCATATTGTATAAGCTTTGCAATATCCTCATCATTGTTAATGAATGTTTTGCCTTGCATATTGGCGAATTAAAGCAATGGTCATTGTTCAACAACCTAACTAGAATTCTTGTGCAAAATGATGCAAAGTAGAGGAAAGAAATGCTTGTCCCAATATTCATTAAAACAAATTAAAGAGAAACTATAAAGAACCTTTATTTCATTGTTGGTTTGGGATAGGCAGTTTGAAATTCTAGCACCCTGCTCTATAATTTTGTATGTTTAGCCTCAAATTTAGAACAAACCTCTTGACTCACAGCTCATTGTGGATCTGAACAGTTGAATGAGCTGTTTACAGATAGAAATTGTTCATTTCTGTCAAGAAGCTTTCATAGTCTCGAGCCCTCCACCTCTAAGCACCCAAAAAAACATGTACCAATCAATAGAGAAGTTGAAGATGTAGTAGCAACTGTTGGACTATAGAGAGCGTAGTCATACTGAAATTTATCCCTTCTTCAGAGCGAAATCACGTTAAAGAGTTATCCTTCCAGCTGCAGGTTTTCAATGGTATATTTAATTTTACATATTACATTTATCAGGCCGCCCTAAAATTCCTACCATACAACAGATTTTATGATAGGAGGCGGGTTTTTGGCCCAATTTCTATGACTCCTAATACCAAGTGCTGCTCGGCTAAGCTTTTAAGTGCTTATAAGTAGTAGGTCTGAGGAATGTGTGGTTACACATTAGATAACTGCTGTGTGTCCTAAGAATGTATGATTACAAATGATGTTTGTTGTGGATCCTAAGAATGTATAGTTAAAAATGATATTTGATCAGCTTATAAGCTTGAAAATTATTACCAGAAACTTGTGGATCTCTGCTAGAACTAGTGAGAAATTCTTGCAAAAATTTTCCATATCACTACAAATGTCACCTTGGGTTCCTAAAACCTGCATGAACTTTTTCCGGTCCAGCACAAGCTTTTTAAGGACTTTGTTTTGCCAGAAAAATGTCAAAATAGATGCTTTAGTACTATTCAATAAACTGATTCAGATGTAATCAAATATGCATCATTATAAATACCATGAAAGTTGAACTTGCAAGCCAACCATGCCATTTTTTCAAGGTCTTGCTGATGAATCATTACAAGCATGAGACATTGACCAATCTTGATGCTCAGCTAGATTATGGAACAGGGAAATCGACTTAATCACTCTATGGATTATGCAAAAGAGTAGCTTTTAAAAAAGCTTAGACATGTCGATTATAAGTAGTACCTAGTTAACCAAAGAAGTCCATTGGTACAGCTAAATGATAATAAAGCAGTTTTTGTTTCGACTTCAGCAAGTACCATGCTGTACAAGTAGTTGAATCTTGATGGATTAGAAGAGTACTTAGATTTCAGTCGCTGCAAGTTCATAATATATCTAGCCATACATCCCGTCCTGCTCGAATACACAGGATTATCGTGCTAAATAATCATCTATCTTACTGTTATATTACCAATGATATCAGATTTCACCATCGCCATAGCAGTTCCAAAATTATCTAGCATCACAATTTCGGAAAATCAAATTCACCTCTGTGTATGAAAGTGAAATTCGATTCAAGTAGAAATTTAAATTAAAACAAACCTAAAACTGGCAACATGAGTTTGCAAACATCCAATAAAGGCTTGGTGGACATCCTCTTGGTCAGACTTCACGTGCTTAATTCCTTCCAGACAAGGTGTAAAAACATTTTCCTCCATTAATTACACAAATTTCTGCACAAAAAATTATTGAAAAATCATGACCCAACGTTATAATTGAATGTGGATATTACTCTGAATTAAATCGAAAATTGAAATGGAAAATGCATGCAAAAATATGAAATGACGAAACAATGAAATTCAATGAAACAATTGATTACGAAATGATAAGAACCTGAGATTAGAATGTGCACACAAAATTAGAGCTGGTGATGGTTTGTAGTTTTGCTTATAATAATAATAATAATTTTTTATAGCCATTGAAATTGAACAAAATATTCTAATTTCTCAAGAAAATAATCTAAATTGTTGTCTCATACATATAACTTCTTTTTTGACATGTATGTTTTCAAATACAATTGACATTATAACATCATAATTTATTAACTTTTCTCATAATATTTATGTTTCAATATAAGAGTTAGAGATGTTTTATAATATGTACATTTTTAATTGTGGTAACAATATGTTACACTCCAGATGGTCACATAACTGAATGTCTGTAAATGTAGTCAACGCTTTCACTCAAGAATGTAATAGATGCGAAAGACATCTAAAAGTGTCAAATGGATCAAAGTTTAAAACTAACTAACAATGGATGAGCCCAACCTTTATATTTGACAAAACTTTGAAGAGATTTATAGAAGATTTTACCTAGAGGCAAACTTAACCATCTTATAAGGATGTCAGCACTAATACAAAGTATTACAACTAATGACATTTGGTAACTCGTCTTTAAAACTAGCTTTGTAAGCAGCCAAGGCCTACATAGTTAAAAACCTTCCAATTAGACCTTTACAAAGCGACACAATATAACAATTAGAGTCGTTTTCTTGCACATTTAGCATTAAAAAAAAAAAAAAAAAAGGGTACTACGCAAGGGCGAACACAGAAATTTTTAGTTAGGGGGTACAATCAAATTTTGTACAAATCGAATACTTTATTCTTAATTTTCGAATGATTTATACTCGACATGAAAAAATGCAAATTTATATTTAAAAAACATTTCTTCATTAATATTTTACTTATCATTTTCATCCATTTGATTTCAAACAGCCATTTTATTAATATTTTGCTTATTACAAGAAAATGCTTATTTATATTAAAAAAATTATAGTGTATTAAATACAAACACTCAATTCAAGTGATCGAAGGAAAAAAACATATAACCAGTATTCAATCAAATAAATGCAATTCATTAAATATAAGTTAAATTAGATATAATCAGTTCAGACAAATTCTATGTACACAAATAGGATATGAGAAAATGCAAATTTATGTTCTAATTAATTGAAAATTTGTAGTAAATGTGATACTTTGTAGAAAAATTATAGATAAATGTTAAAAAATTAGACAGGCTAAAGTTTTGATAAAAGGTGTGAGGGAGAGTGTAAGATAAAGTAAGAGAACGGAGAAAAAAGTTCAAGTTTATTATAATTTTGCCCCTATTTGATGGAGGTTAAAATCATATTTTTAGTATAATTTGATAAAAGTTAAAAAGTTAAGGATTCTATGAAATATGTCATTAAAATTAATTGTTGACTTTAATTTATATTAAAATTTAGATTTCAATCGATATCAAACAAGACTTATCTTAATAAATAAATAAATGAAAAAAGTCAAAAGTTCGGGGTCACATGACCCACAGGCCCCCCTTGAGTCCGCCCATGACACTACGAAATGAAACAATGAAATCATTAACATAGAAAGGAGTAAATCTCTCGAGCTATGGTATTTTTTCCAGTCTCTAACCTTTGCAAATTCTTCTAGTTTCTTTGACAGATCTTTCAAGCTGATGTCCACTGCTTTTCCTTGCCAAATTTCTTCTTCCATGGCTTGTTATGCTACTTTTTCACAGCCTTTACGCCAATGCAAGAGGGACTTTCTGTTGGGTGATATTGGATCTCTCTCATCCCCGAAGCTAGCTCAAGAGGCGAGACTTTCTTTCACACTTATAAACTGAATGCTAACATCATCCACAACCGGTGTGGGACAACCTCAACAAGCTCCCCCTCACACATCGGGTTTTGCGAAAGACCAATCACGTCTCCCTCCACACATTGGGGCTTGCGGGAGACCAAACCCGTCTCTCCCTCATATAAACCCGTATCTCTGTATATTGTTGGACATGAAACAATTGTTGGGTGAAGACTTGTTGATAAACCGGGTTCTGATACTAGTGTTGGGCGGCATTGGATCTTTCTCCTTCTAAAAGTTAGTTTAAGTAGTGAGACTTTCCCTCACACTTATAAACTGAATGCTAACTCCATCCACAATTAATGTGAGACAACCTCAACACTTTCAAAATCTAAGAAAGTTAGAAGAAATTCTTGAGGAATATTGCTATTAAAATTGTATCCATCGAAAAGGATCTTGAAAGTTAGCAAAATTCCTTCAGCGGTATTTAATTTGAAGTATTCTTATTAGAAGAGATTAGAGTACTAAAGAGGGGTCGACCTATTTAGGACATCCACATGTAATAAAATTGATTCTCTTCCGCCCCACGCTTGCGATATGGCCAGCCTATATTTTAATATAATTATGAGAATATTCTATTTTTCTTTCATGAACCATTCATTAAAGCGGTAGGAATTTTTACTGAACTTCTACTTTAGTTTGATCGCTGTGAAAATTAATATTTTGTAAATATCATAGTCTTGTTAGGACTAAAAAATTATTATAATAATAAGTACAATAGTATAGAATTAAAATTGAAATTACTTGTGAACGAGGAACACTAAGCACTGTGCAATCGACTCATGAAGAGTGGTAGGCAACATTTGTACTAAAGAAACTTGGAAGAATTGATAGGAACTCGTGAACAACGATTCAACGAAGCATGTGAATGAATTAGATGCAAAGCCACCCTATGCCGAAGTGATCAAACTTGAAAATTCGTTAGGAAGTCGAAAATCTTGATTCAACCCCCAACCAAAAGGATAATGATTATGCTTAAACTAATAAAGTAAATCAGTCATCCTCAAGTTATCGATCAACAACACTCAACCCGTGGCCGACTCCTTATTTGCAGTCCGTCGTGTTAATCCCAAAGGGTTGTAAATAATGAGATTTAATGATAATGTGAAGTAATGAAAATCACAACGAGAAACAAGATTAAAAGTAAAGAAATAAATATAGAGAATTAATCGTAGAGGAACAATGTATTATAAACTGACAATATGAAGAGAAATTACAGACATAATAATAATGCTTAAACAAAACTGACAGAAGAGCCTTGTATTTGTAGGCCATGTTTCAAACCCTAGAAGAGTCCTAAAAGATAAGAAAATATATTACAATTAAGAGACCTAATTTCGACAATTGTTGAATGCAGTTAGATTCCTTT